AGATAAAGAAAAGGGGAAGATGATAAATAAGACAGCACATAGCCTCATGTGGAATCTCACGGATGTTCAGGATATAGCAGTCCTTGTTTTACTCTGCTCTACTTAAGTGCCTTGGTGTCTGATTCGTTCTCTCTGCTTTTTGTTTTGACTCCGCTACCATCTGACTGCCCTCTTTGCTATCCTGACCCCCTCCTGGCCTCTGCATATTCCCATGAGCAGTGGTGTGGGATTCTCTTCTCTTCTTTCACTCCCTTGCTCTCACTTCACCAGTGGCTTCTCATGTCACTGAGAATAAAATTCAGAGTCCTTACTAAGGCCTAGTAGCTTCTGCAGGACCTGGCCTCTGCTCCCTTTCTTTCTGGTCTCAGTTCACGCCCCTTTCCACCTTTGCTCACAGTGTCCCAGCCACACTGACGTGCTTGTTCTTCCTCACAGCCACCTAACCTCAGAACCTTTGTACTCACTGTTCACTCGACAGTGCCTTCCCAGGTATTTTCTTGCTTTCCTCCTTTGTTTAGGCCTCTATCAGATGTCACCTCCTCAGAGACCCTTTCCTGACCACCTTATCTAAGATGGAATTTCCCATCCTGGTACTCTTATCTGCTGCTTCTTTTTTATTATCAGGGTTTCTTGCACATGACATTATTATAATATGAATTTCTTTTGCATTTGGTTATTGTCTGTCTTCCTTACTACAGTGTAAACTACTTGAAGCCCAGCTTGATGTGTTATATTTACTGTAATGTCCTCCTTGCCTAGAATGGTACCTGGTACATTATGGACACTTAATACTATTGAATGCACGTAGACATAATATATGACTCACATTTGACTTCTCCAGAGGAGGGTCTGTTTTGCCGTCCAATATTGAGTGCATCTGTTGGGTAAGATGCTGGGCTAACTGCCCTACCAACCCCTCGGCAACTGTTATGTTAGGTGCCTACCCCTGGTGCATCCACCCAGTAGTAATCAAGATAGTGAGATCATATGTCCTATTCTCTTGATATTCCTTTCTTTCCACTTGCATGGACTGGTCCCTCCAAAACCTTTAAGTTTCAACTTCTGGTTGACAAGAAAAATGTTGCCAGATCCCATGCTGTGGAACAGTTGCTTCCAATTTCAAACTAAACATTGAGAGGAATGACAGGAAGTAATATTTTGGCTTTCTTGATCTTTGTGTCCCCTTGCTGTGTCATCTTGGCCCACACACTCGTGTACTTTCTCTCTGTTCCTCTCTGGTTCTTGATTATAGTCTCTTTTCTCTTTGCAGTCCATCTTTGCCCCTCCTTTCTTTCTCTCTTGTTCTCCCCTGTAAGCCGCCATTTTGCTTTACCCTCTGCATCATTCCAGAGCCTGGTTAGCTTGAGTTCTTGCCTCTGAGAAATCTTTCAACTTACCAAGTTTAATTTTTTCCGTTCTTTGTTCCTTATGGCTGGAGAGGCTTGAGGAAGAGAATTGCATTGGAATGTTCTTTTCCTCCTTCATCCTTTTATTTGACTGATATTTGAAAACCTACTGTGTGTGAAACATTGTATCAGATTCTGGGCTACCTCCATAAACAATACCCAGGTTCTCACAGTATAGTTAAGGAGACAAATAAGCTGAATTAATGTTTATTATTCATTCAATTTTTTTTTTTTTTAATGAAGTCTCACTCTGTCACCCAGACTGGAGTGCAGTGCATTGTGTTGGCTCACTGCAACCTCTGTCTCCTGGGTTCAAGCAATTCTTCTGCCTCAGCCTCCCAAGTAGCCGGGATTACAGGTGCCCACTACCATGCCCAGCTAATTTTTTAATATTTTTAGTAGAGATGGGGTTTCACCATGTTGGCCAGACTGGTCTTGAACTCCTGACCTCAGGCGATCCACCTGCCTAAGCCTCCCAAAGTGCTGGGATTACAGGCATGAGCCACTGTGCCTGGCCTATTTTTTTCAACAAATATTTATTAACACTAAGATACAGTGGTAGATAAAAACAAAAATTCTTACATGGACTTACAGTTTGATAAGATATACATTAATTAGATGACACATAAATAAATGTTCGATTATAGCTATGTCAAATTCTATAAAGGAGGGCTCCATAGTGCTATGAGAATTAGGAGGATCTGTCCTGGTTAGGAGAGACAGGGATAGCTTCCTTGAGGAAGTGAAGGGTAAATTGAGATCTGAAGACACAGTTAGAATTAACTAGACAAGGGCAGCAGGAGAGAGGGAATAGCAGATACAAAAGTCTGGTGCTGAAAGGGTGCTAAGAATGTTCGAAGAAGTTTAAGGATAGAGAATAGGCTTGAAAGTGAGCCAAATGAGGCTGAAGAGACAGTCTGGGGTTCGATTGGCTGGGCTTTGTAGACCACAGTAAGGGATTTGGTCCTTATTCTGGTAACAGCAGGAGGATGCCTTTGAAGTGCTGTAAGCAGGGGGGGAAGGAAAAAGATATAAAAAATATTCTTATTTTTAAAACACTAATCTGAATGCTGTGGAGAATAAATGGAGTTGGGTGTAAATGGAAGGCATAAGAAAGGATATGGAAATGCTAGTTAGGAAGCCATAATGGCAGTCCAGATGCTACTAACCCACGTGGGGTTAAGAGTTAGCAAGAATTTTAAGTTTCCAAATCTACCTTTACTTTCTATTAAACATATTTCTATTAAATGTACTTACTTTATTTTAATTTTTTTTGAGACAGAGTCTTGCTCTGTTGCCCAAGGTGGATTGCAGTGGCAGGATCTTGGCTCACTGCAACCTCCAACTACTGGGTTCAACAGATTCTCCTGCCTCAGCCTCCAGAGTAGCTGGGATTACAGGTACCTGCCACCACACTTGGCTAATTTTTGTATTTTTTTTTTTTTTTTGAGATGGAGTTTTCGCTCTTGTTACCCAGGCTGGAGTGCAATGGCGCGATCTCGGCTCACCGCAACCTCCGCCTCCTGGGCTCAGGCAATTCTCCTGCCTCAGCCTCCTGAGTAGCTGGGATTACAGGCACACGCCACCATGCCCAGCAAATTTTTTGTATTTTTAGTAGAGACGGGGTTTCACCATGTTGACCAGGATAGTCTCGATCTCTTGACCTCGTGATCCACCCGCCTCGGCCTCCCAGAGTGCTGGGATTACAGGCGTGAGCCACCGCGCCTGGTCTAATTTTTGTATTTTTAGTAGAGATGGTGTTTCATTATGTTGGTCAGGCTGGTCTCGAATCCTGACCTCAAGTGATCCACCCTCCTTGGCATCGGAAAGTGCTGAGATTACAGGTGTGAGCCACTTGTAGCTTAAAGCTTAAAGTAAGCCAAAATGTACTTACTTTAAGTCAACTATCAGAAACAAATTTTTTTAATAAAAGGATCCATATCTTGTCAAAGACACAAATGCAATAAAACTTAAGTTCATTGAAATGAGAAATAAAGGATGACTTAAAGAAGTATGAATGGAATTATACCAGAAAATCTATGGTAAATATAATGATTATAATTGACTACAAAAGTTAGCTGTGAGTTTCTGGCAGCCTAGGTATAAAAGGGAATAGGATAGGTCATGTGATTGTTTAACAAAGGAAGCACGGGATATAATGCTGTTTTCTGTAATTTTCTTTGTCAGGGCCGGGCATGGTGGCTCACGCCTGTAATCCCAGCACTTTGGGAGGCCAAGGCGGGTGGATCACGAGGTCAAGAGATCGAGACCATCCTGGTCAACATGGTGAAAGCCTATCTCTACTAAAAATACAAACAATTAGCTGGGCATGGTGGCGCACACCTGTAATCCCAGCACTTTGGGAGGCCGAGGCGGGTGGATCACGAGGTCAAGAGGTCAAGACCATCCTGGTCAACACGGTGAAATCCCGTCTCTACTAAAAATACAAAAAATCAGCTGGGCATGGTGGTGTATGCCTGTAATCCCAGCTACTCAAGAGGCTGAGGCAGGAGAATTGCCTGAACCCAGGAGGCGGAGGTTGCGGTGAGCCAAGACCGTGCCATTGCACTCCAGCCTGGGTAACAAGAGCAAAACTCCGTCTGAAAAAAAAAAAAATTTTCTTTGTCCTAAATATTTAAAGTGTTTTATTATAGATGTGAAGTTAAACCACTTAGATAGGTCCAGATTGTTGAAACTCAGGACCTCAGCTCTTGAGATCGTAGCATTAATTCATTGTTGGTAGTAGGTCACACTGGTATTTTAAAAAGTAAAAACTTGAGAAAAATTCAGAGCTGAACCATAAATACGCATTTCCTTCTTTTCTTTTCTTTTCTTTTCTTTTCCTTTTTTTTTTTTTTAAAAAAAAGACAGGATTTTGCTCTGTCACCCAGGCTGGAGTGCAGTGATGTGATCATAGCTCACTGCAGCCTTGAACTCCTGGTCTCAAGCTGTCCTTCCTCCTCAGCTTCCCAAGTAGCTGAGACCACAGGCACACATACCACCATTCTTGGCTAACTTTTTATTTCTTTTGTAGAGACAGGGGCTCTGTTGCCCAGGCTGGTCTCCAACCCCTGGCCTCGAGTGATCCTCCTACCTTGACCTCCCAAAGTTTTGGGATTACAGGTGTGAGCCAACATGCCTGATCCATGTTTGCATCTCTTTTTTTTTTCCTCCTATTTTTGTGCTACTCCTTATGGAGCAGGGTTAGCTAATCCATAGGCAGTGTGCCCAGAGTTGGCTTTATATGAAGTTTTTATTAGCCCTCTTGTTACAGTTGAGGGGTAGAGGGAGGTTAGAAGGAAAGTTAAAAATAGTAGAGGAGGTGAGAAATAATAGACTAGAAGCCCATGATGCAACCCATGGGCACAAGGTAGACCCTTAATATATTTTCCAGTGTCATCACAGATACGTTTTGCCTTGCCTGCCTCTGTAGTAACTATTTAATTTGTGTCTACAAATACTTATTCATAGAGGACATCCTTCCTGCTTTGGAAGATGCATTAGTCAGGGACAAAGAATGTACAGAAGTGACAGCTTTATTTCTTAACTATTCACATTCCAACCCCAAAACTTCCAAAATCAAGAACCTTAAAATCATTTCAAATTATGAATAAAGTAATCCAGGGTTACCCGTGGCTCTCCTGTGAGGTCTCTGCCCCTGGGACTAAATCTCCATGCATTCTCTTCCCAGCCCTGTATACAACCAACAGCTTCAGCTACAGTGCCTACTCTGTATAATGTTAGATCCAGGAGAGCCAGAGAGAGTAGTACAATAGGTAACAAGAAGTCAGAGAAGTCCAGATTGTTGGCTCTTGAGATGGTGGCATTAATCCATTTTTGGTAGTAGATTACATTGGTATAGACTCCAGGAAGAGATTTACCACATTCTAATCCCCAGCTCACCACTCCTATCTGGATCCATATACCATCAATGTGACAAGACAGAGGCCCTCCAGAATCACCCTAAGGAAGAAATAAAGATAATGAGCATAGTGAAAAGAGACATGAAGAAGAGAGTAGTAATAAGGGGTGGAGAATTCTTTTAAACTAGGCCATGGGACCCATGGAGCTGTGGAACCCTGCAGGGAGCTGGACTAATCACTGCTTTAGGGAGAGATCACAGGAATTTTAGAATCATAGCATTGAAATTGTTAGAGACCTTAGTGAAACGTATTAGTAATTTCAAAATATTTATCTGTGATAAAAAGAGAAAACTAATGTGATGATTTTTCACTAAAGGTAAATTTATTCAAATTAGCCAACTGCCTTTTTTTCCTGTTCTTAGGTTCTTACCGCTCTTTTTTTAGTGTTAAGTAATCCATTCTTACATAAAATGATAGTGATAGTGTTGGTAGTAGTCTTCCAATCTTATTCTCTTTCTTTTAACAGCTTTGCTGACATATAATTCACATCTACATAATTCAGTGGTTTTTAGTATATTTACAGAGTTGTACAACCATCACCACAACCCATTTTAGAACATTTTTATCACCCTAAAAAGAAACCTCATACCCATTTGTAATTACCCCCATTTCTTCCCAACCCTCCCAGCTAGGCCAACCAGTAGTCCACTCTCTGCCTCTATGGATTTGCCTATTTTAGACATTTCATATAAACGAAATCATGTAATATGTGGCCTTTTGTGTCTGGCTTCTTTCAGTTAGCACATTCTTTTCAAGTTTCATCCATATTTTATCAGTACTCCATTCCTTTTTATGGCTGAATAATATTCCATTGTATGGATATGCCACTTTGTGTTTCTGCATTCATCACTTGATGGACGTTGTGGTTGCTTCCATTATTTGGGCTATTATAAATAATGCTTCTAGGGCCCAGCATGATGGTTCCTGTCTGTAATCCTAGTGCCTTGGGAGGCCAAGGCAGGATGATCAGGCCAGGAAATGGAGACCAACTTGCAACACAGTGGGACCCTGTGTCTACAAAAAAAAAAAAAAAAGATGCTGTAGTGGCATGTGCCTATTGTCCCAACCACTCCGGAAGCTAAGGCAGAAGTATTGCTTGAGCCAAATTTACAATGAACTAAGATCTTGCCACTGCACTCCAGCCTGGGTGACAGAGCAAGACCCTGTTTCTTTCTTTTTTTTTTTTTTTTTGAGACAGAGTTTAGCTCTTGTTACCCAGGCTGGAGTGCAATGGTGCAATCTTGGCTCACTGCAACCTCCGCCTCCTGGGTTCAAGCAATTCTCCTGCCTCAGCCTCCTGAGTAGCTGGGATTACAGGCACACGCCACGATGCCCAGCTAATTTTTTGTATTTTTAGTAGAGACGGGGTTTCACCATGTTGACCAGGATGGTCTTGACCTCTCGACCTTGTGATCCACCCGCCTCGGCCTCCCAAAGTGCTGGGATTACAGGCTTGAGCCACCGCGCCCAGCCTGCAAGACCCTGTTTCTAAAATAATAATCATTATGCTGCTGTGAACACTTGTGTACCAGTTTTTTTTTTATTGTTTGTTTATTTAAAGATGGGATCTCACTGTTTTGTCCAGGCTGGTCTTGAACTCCTGGGCTGAAGTGATCCTTCTGCCACAGGCTTCTGAGTAGCTAAGATTACAGGTGGAAGCCACTGTGCCCAGCTCACATGCAAGTTTTTGTATGGACATATTTTCATCTTAGTCTATACCTAGGAGTGGAATTTCTGGGTCATATGGTAATTCTATATTTAACCTTTGAGGAACTGCCAAACAGTTTTTCAAAGAGGCTGCACCATTTTATGTTACAACCAACAGTGTTTGAAGACTCCAGTTTCTCTACATTTGCATATCTTTATACTAACTGGCTATTTGTATATCTTTAGAAAAATATCTATTCAGATTCTTTGCTCTTTTAAAAATTGTGTTCTTTTTATGATCAAGTTATAAGTGTTCTTTATATATTCTAGATACAGATCCCTTACATATGTGATTTGCAAATATTTTCTTCCATTTCATAGGCTACGTTTTTACTTTGTTGATAGTATACATTGATGCATAAAATTTTTGACTTTTAAAGGACTCTTTTTTTGTAGTTGCTTATGCTTTTAATAATGTATCTAAGACAATGTTGCCTAATCAAGGTCACAAAAACCTACCTATATGTTTTTTCCCTAAAGGTGCTACAGTTTTAGCTCTAATGTTTAGGTCTTAGATCCATTTTGAGTTAACTTTGTATATGGCAAGGTCAGGTTCTAAGTTCATTCTTTTACATGTGGTTATATATTTGTCCCAGCATCATTTGTTGAAATGACTATAACTTGTTCATTGAACTGATTTGACACCAATGTTTAAAATTAATTGACCATAAATATAAGAGTTTATTTCTGTACTCTCAATGGTATTTCATTGATCTATATATGTCTCTCCTTATGCTAGTACAACATTGCCTTGATTACTGTTAGTTTTGAAATAAGAAAAATGTGTGTCCTTCAACTTTTTTCTTGTTTTTCAAGATTGTTTTGGGCCCATTGAATTTCCATATGCATTTTAGGATCAGCTTGTCAATTTCTGCAAAGAAACCAGCTGGGTTTTCATAGAGATTACATTGAATCTGTAGATCCATTTGGAGAATACTGTAATTTAAGCAATATTAAGTTTATTCCTATTTTATTCTTTTTAAAACTATTATAAATGTAATATTGTTTTCTTAAGTGTTTCCTTAGATTATACATTGCAACTGCAGAGAAATATAGTTGCTTATTTATTTATTTATTTTTAAGACAAAGTCTGGCTTTGTCATCCTGCCCAGGCTGGCGTGATCTCAGCTTACTGCAGTCTCCACTTCCCAGGTTCAAGCAGTTCTGCCTCAGTCTCCTGAGTAGCTGAGATTACAGGCACCCTGGCACCATGCCCAACTAGTTTTTGTAATCTTAGTAGAGACAGGGTTTCACCATGTTGTCAGGCTGGTCTTGAACTCTTTTTGTTGTTGTTGTTGTTGTTGTTGTTTTCTTTTTTTTTCTTTTTGTCATGGTCTTGAACTTTTAACCTCAATAAATCCACCCGCCTTGGCCTCCCAAACTGCTGGGATTACCGGCATGAGCCTCTACGCCCTGCTTACAGTTGCTTTTTGTATATTGTTCCTATATCCTTCACTTTTTGCTGAATGTGTTTATTATTTCTAATTTTGGGAAGGGTGTCATTCCTTTAGATTTTCTATTTTTAAAATCATGTCATCTGTGAATAGAGATAGTTTTACTCTTTCTTTCCAATCTGATATATATTTTTTTGTCTCTTGCTTAATTCTGACTAGAACTTCCAGTACAATGTTGAATAGAAATGGCAAGAGTAGACATCCTTGTCTCTTTCCTGGCCTTTTGGCAAAAGCATTTAGTATTTTACCATTAAATATTTTAGCTGTAGGTTTTTTTGTAGTTGTACTTGAACCAGTTGAAAAAATGCACTCATTGTTGAGTGTTTTTTTTTTTAACTTGAAGAGTTGTTGGATTTTTGTTAAATGTTTTTTCCATATTTATTGACAACATCATATGGGTTTTGCTCTTTATCCTAAGAACATGGTATGTTAACATTAATTGATTTCTGGATTTTAAACCAACCTAAGTTTCCTGGGATAAATACCGGTTGTTTATGATAGATCGTTTTCTTTAAAACAAAAAAACAAAAAAACAGAGAGAGAGAGAGAGAGAGAGAGAGACAGGGTCTCACTCTGTCTCCCAGGCTGGAGTGTGGTGGTACAAACACAGCTCACTATGGCCTCAACCTGCCATTCTCAAGCGATCATCCCACCTCAGCTTACCGAGTAGCTGGGACTACAGGTGCATGCCACTATGCTTGGCTTTTAAAAATCTTTTGTAGAAACAAGGTCCCACTATGTTGCTCAGGCTAGTCTTGAACCCCTGACCTCAAGTGATCCTCCTGTCTTGGCCTCTCAAAGTGCTGGGATTACAAGGCTTGAGCCACCACATCCTAAAAAGAATCCACATACCCATTTGTAATTATCCCCAGTTGGAATTTTGAGGTCAGCCAACTTGACTTCCTGTTGAAACAAGAAATCGGCATTCAGGTATATAATCCTTTTTATATGTTGTTGGATTTGGTTCGTTGAGGATTTTTTCACCTCTATTCATAAGAGATACTGGTCTATAACTTCCTTATGATGTCTTTGTCAGGTTTTAGTCTCAGGAAATACTGATCTCGGAATGAGTTGGGAAATGTTCCCTCTTTTTCTTTCTTTTTTTTTTCTTTTCTTTTTTTTTTTTTTGAAGACAGAGTCTTGCTGTCACCCAGGCTGGAGTGCAGTGGCATGATCTTGGCTCACTACAACCTCTGCCTCCTGGGTTCAAGCAATTCTTCTCCCTCAGCCTCCCAAGTAGCTGGGATTACAGGTGTGTGCCACCATACTCAGCTAATTTTTGTATTTTTAATAGAGACAAGGTTTCACCATGTAGGCCAGACTGGTCTTGAACTCCTGACCTCAGGTGATCCGCCCACTTTGGCCTCCCAAAGTGCTGGGATTACAGGTGTGAGCCACTGTGCCCAGCCCCTTCTTTTGTTTTTCAAAAGAACTTGTGTAGAATTGATATTAATTCTTTTCTTTTCTTTTGAGACAGAATCTCACTCTGTCACACAGGCTAGAGTGCAGTGGCACAATCTCAGCTCACTGCAACTCTGCCTCCCAGATTCAAGTGATTCTCATGCCTCAGTCTCCCAAATAGCTGGGAATACAGGCGCATGCTACCACGCCCAGCTAATTTTTGTATTTTTTGTAGAGATGGGGTTTTGCCATGTTTGCTAGGCTGTCTCGAACTCCTGGCCTCAAGTGACTCGCACGACTTGGCCTCCTAAAGTGCTAGGATTACAGGTGTAAGCCACTGCGTGTGGCCAGAATTGGTATTAATTCCTTAAATGTTTGGTGGAATTCACCGATGAAGCCACCTGGACCTGGTCTTTTATTTGTTGGTAGTTTTTTGTTTTTTGTTTTAAATCACAAATGCAGTCTCTTTACTTTTTATTCAGACCACCTATTTCTTCTTAGGTAAGTTATGCTAGTTTGTGTGTTTCTAGGAATTGTTCCATATCATTTTAGTTATCTAACTTTTTGGCATACTGTTATTCATAGTAGTATCTTATGAATTCCTTTTATTTCTGTAAGATTGCTAGTAATGTCCCAGTTTTATTGTTAACTTTAGTAATTTGAGTCTTTTTTTTCTTGCTCAGTCTAGCTAAAGTTGTTTTTCAATTTTATTGATCTTTTTAAGGAACCAGTTTATATTCTCTATTGTCTTTCTCTTCTCTAGTTCAGTAATTTCCACTATATCCCTTATTTCCTTCTTTGTATTTTCTTTAAGTTTAGTTTGGAGCGGTTTTTTTTTTTTTTTTAAGACAGGGTCTCACTCTGTCACCCGGCGTGGATCACGGTGGTCCAAATATAGCTCACTGCAGCCTGGAACTCCTGGGCTCAAGCTATCCTCCCAAGTAGCTGGGACTACAGGCTTGTCCTACCACTCCCAGCTAATTTTATCCTCCCAAGTAGCTGGGACCACAAGTGCACCGCCATGTCTGGCTGATTTTTTAAAATTATTTTTGTAGACAGAGGGTCTCACTATATTGCCCAGGCTGATCTTGAACACCTGGGCTGAAAAAAAAGTCTCCTACCTTATCCTCCCACATTGCTGTGATTATAGGTATGAGCCATCACACCCAGCCTTTTTTTTAAGAGATAGAGTGTCAGAGTCTTGCTGTGTTGTCCAGGCTGAAGTGCAGTGGTGTGATCATAGCTCACTACATATGTGAACTTCTGGGCTCAAGGTATCCTCCTGCCCCAGCCTCCTAAGTAGCTGGGACTATAGGCTTGTCCCACCACTCCCAGCTAATTTTTTTTAATTTTTAATTTTTAGGATCGGCAAGGTCTCACTGCGTTGCCCAGGCTGGCCTTGAACTTCTTTTTCCAATGTCTTACATGGAAAATTAGGTTACTGATTTGAGATTTATTGTTTAATGTAGGCATTTACAGTTATAAATTTCTCTCTAAGCAGTGCTTTAGTGCATCCATAAGATTTGGTATGTTGTTTCTTCATTTTTATTCATCTCAAAACATTTCCTAATTTTTTGTGTGATTCTTTTTTTCTTTGACCCATTCATTATTTAGCAGTGTATTACTGTCCATGTATTTGTGAATTTCCGTATTTCTCTCATTTCGAATTTCATTCCATTTTGATTGGAAAATATACTTTATATAATTTTAATCCTTCTAACTTTATTGGGTCTTGTTTTACTGCCTAGCATATGGTCTATTCTGGAAAATGTTCCATGGGCATTTAAGAAGAAAGTATATTGTGCTCTTCTTAGAACTTTTTCTGTTTTTAAAATTTCTTATGGGAGTGACTTGTCTCTGATAAACTGTGCTTCAGAAAACAATTATAAATTGTGGACAGCATATAAGAGCCTACTCTCTGAAGGCAGTAGAGAGTGGCCAATAGCAGGCAGAAACTAGAATCAATCCTTGATAGAAAAGAATGGCATTCTTAAAAAAAAAAAAAAAAAGATTCTTCCCTTAAAGCAGGCCCCAGTCATTATCACACATAGTGGCTGGAACTTGAAAAGAAACCCACAGTCCTACCAACTTGAGGAATTAAAGGGTAGCGTTTAGAGCTACCACAGCAGTTGGAAAGTGAAGGGAAAAATACCAGAAAGAAGAGAACTACAGAGAGGGAGTCCCAAGTTCTGCATATAAACTCTGCTCAAATCTTTGACTAAACCCTGAACTACACACATGTGCGGGTTAGACTCCAAGCAGCTCGGCTAAGACTAAAATAACTGATAGCTATCACAGGAGAGATCCAGTTTGGATTTTTGAGGTCAGCCAAGTTGACTTCCCATTGAAACAGGAAATCAGCAGCATTCTTTAGAGAAGCATAACAATCTGTACTTCCTATACCATGCTACTGACATTGTCCAGGATATATTTCAAAATGATTAGATGTTAAAATAAATAAACAAAACAGGAAAATGTTTTCCAAGATAAACTGGAAAATGCTACTCATGAGGAAAAGCAGTCAGTGGAGAATAACCCTGACATAACTCAGACTGATTTTGGAATTTGCAGATAAGGATTTAAAGCAACTATTATAACTGTGATCAACACATGTGAAGGAAAATATTTATAACATACAGATGGAAAACCTTGGCAGAGATCTAGAAAGTATGTGTGGATGAGAGAAGGAGAGAATAAAACCAAATGGTCATTCTAGAACTAAAATATATGACATAAAAATTTCACTAGATGAACTTAACAGTAAAATGTAAATGACAGCAGGAAGAGGCAGTCATCTTCAATATAGATAAATTTAAAAGTATGCAATTTGAATAACAGAGAAAAAAATGTAAAAATAAAATGGACCTGTGTGAAGATACCAGAAGGTATAACTTACAAGTTTATGGTGTCAACTAGAAGGGGAGGAGAGAGAAATGAGGCAGAATAGTTTTAGAAGAAATCATTACTGAAAAATTTCCAAGTGTTAGTGAAAGATGTTAAATAATAGATTTTTAAAACCCAAAAACTCAGTGAACACCAAATAGGATAAATGCAAAGAAAACCACACCTAATACATCATATTCAAACTGCCGACAATCAAAGGTAGAGAAAAAAATACTCAAAGCAGCCAAGAGCAAAACAACACATTACAGTCAATGGAATGAAGATGCAAATAATAGCTGATTTTTTATCAGTTATGACAGAGAGACTATAGAAAGACATCTTTTAGGTATAGAATGAAACATTCCTACTTGAAAAAATTTAAAAGCTGGCAATTCTGCTTCAACCTCTTAATATACTTGTGAAAATATAAGGTCTATAAAAGTCCAGCAACCCAAGGAGGAAGGATTGCTTGAGGCCAGGAATTCGGGATCAGCCTGAGCAACAAAATGAGACCTCATCCCTACAAAACAATGAAAAAATTAGCTGGGCCTGGTGGTGGGTGCTTGTAGTCCCAGCTGCTCAGGAGGCTGAGGTGGGAGGATGACTGCTTGAACTCAGGAGCTGGAGGCTATAGTAAGCTATGATCATGCCATTGCACTCCAGCCTGGGTGACAGAGCAAGACTCTGTCTCTAAAACAATAATAAATAAAAAGTCCAATGACCAGTGGTTAACATTGGTCTAGATCAATAGTCTTATAGTTGAAGAAATTGATTTCACAGACACAAGTTAAAGTGATTTGTCCAGGGTAACACAAGAGTTATCGTTAGAACTCTTATCTCCTGACTTCCAATCCACTGTTATTTATGGATAGGAAAACCTGGATCCAAATTAAGATCTCATGTAAAAAAAAAAAAAAAAATCTCAAGAGCAAATCCTGACCTTGCAACTATCCTTCATGTTTTGAGTATCACCAGCACAAATCTTGTCTTCCTTAATGACTGGCTCCAGTGCTGGCAAGAAGATACCAATTGGGTTGTAGAGCTGTTCGCAAGCCTGGCGGTCAATAATGGGTATTTCTGCTTCCTGAAGGGTAGAATGGTAATCACTATCTGTAGAGGAAGACAGGAACAAAAGATTAAAGCAACCTGGAAAAGTGCAGGGGCAGCATTCAGTCATGATGTGCAGAAGTCTCTGAATGGGAATCCAAAAACAGCTTACAATCACTTTCCAATCATGTTTGCTTATCTTTTGGTACACTTAAATCTAAAACTTAATAATTCTAAATTATTTCTGCTTTTTTGAGATTTTTTTCAAATTGAGCCATTGTTCTAAGTAATGAGTACTTTTGATAAATTCTGATTGAGTAAAAGTATGAGTATTCTAAAGGATTCTAAATCTTTCTTTCCAATTTTTTTGCTCCTAGATCAATTCCTGTCTTGTCTCTACTCCATCCTGGGAAAGAGTTGACACAACGCTTTAAAAACAGATAAAAAAAAAAAAAAAACACTTGACTCTCTCTCCAAACTTTAAAGCAGGCTTACTAACCTCTGTTTGAGAGAGCTAGTTACGTGTTTGAATTGTTAATATCTGCCCTTCCAGCTATAGCTAGACTCTGCAAGATGTAAAACTAAAATAAAAATATAAATGTCAAAAAAGATATTTAAAAATATAAATAATAGCATTAGATTGATCTGGTTTTGTTGAAAAGTATTTGCCATAGTAAGGATATGCCTCGAATAGGAATGTTCTGGAGTACAAGAGGGTATAAAACAACCCTTCTCTCTGCCCATTCTCACCTAAACTTTCCTTAACTTTTCCCCATCCAGTCACCCAACAAGAGGCTGGAATTGCCAACTGTGTTGTGATATTGGGCAAGCAAATAGGCAGGATGGCAGAAGTGAAGGTGACTTGAGAGGACAGTTTCAACAAGGCAACATCTGCTGTTGTATCTTCGTACTTGGGGTGGGTGATGATTTTGGACACGTAGTACTTCACACTTTTACTTGAGTCACCTACTTTAATCGATCCCAGCAACACAGTATATGAAAAAGTATTCCAGGTCCTGCAGAAGGGGGAAAAAAAGGAGGAGGAGAATTAAACTGGGGCCTGTTTATGGCCTGCAGCTGAGTCAGAACAAGTTGCCTATATAGCCTGTAAGTCTCTAGTTAAGAAAGCAGAGTAGCCGACTGGGAATTAACCAGGGTGCTTCCAACTTCAAGTAGGGTTGATTTGTCTCCTCCTCTCCTCTCTTTCTCTCTCTCCCTCATTCCCTGACCACTCTTTCTGTGGTCTCTTCTTAGAGGCTTGCAGCCTGCGTTTTGTCCTGTATTTTCTCTCCGGTTCTCTCATTTACCTCTTCCATTCTCCATGGTCTCAGCTATCACCTGTGTGCTTAGTAGACATTGCTGTTTATTGTCCATACTGATTCTGTTCTGAGCACTAGACCTTCATTTCTGAATAAAATGTTAAAGCAAAATATAACCACAGTTATACATATACACAGTTAAGATGTCAGGTAGTTTGATAAGTTGTACAAAATAAATAAATAAATCTTGAATTCTCGGCCTTACTACCCTCAGTTCATACTATTTAGAGGCAATCACATTCAACTCTTTCGGCTCTTAGTAATTTTCAGATGTTTTCAAGAAACCCTATGTATTGCTGTGTTTTTATTTTTCTTTTTCAGTTTTAGAAAACTGAGTTCCTAGTGTGGAAGGTGAGGATAGAACTTTCTAATGCATCGCTGTTTACCCCCCACCTCCCACTTGCATTCTACCCATCCTCCTAGCCAGTGTTACCATAACGTTTTGTTAAATAAGTATTTAATGTGTTTGTTCTTGTGGCTATGTAAACATTATTTACTACTGGGTCCTATTGGGTGATTACATTTCTTGTAAAACTTTTTGCTTCTCCTGGAGTTGATCAGTGGGTTCACTTTGGTTTTTCGTTTTTATCTTTATATCCATCATCAGTCTCACTTCCCGGACCCTCCACCAGAAATGTCAGTCTCCTCTCATTTTGTTCAAACTTGTCAGGCATTCTATCAATAATTTTTTTTGGAGCCCTCTGCCCTCTTGTTCTAATCTGGGCTGCGGCACATCCATCATCTTGGCACTTTATCCTTTATGACTTTCCTAGGGATTCTCTTCTGTGTTATATCCCCTTTTGTCTGTATCCTGTGTCTGTTTTGCCCCCTTTATTTTGGTGGAGCACATTCTCCTATGGCTTCCTGAGAAAACGTGCATGAGAGGTAACATTTTTGCTGCTTCGTGTATTTGAAAATGTTTTACTTCTATCCCACATTTGATTGATAGTTTGCATATGGATAGAATTCTAAGTTGTAAATAATTTTCTTTTAGCATTCTGAAGTTATTACTCTATTTTCTTTTTTTTAACTTAATTTTTTTTTTAGAGACAAGGTCTTACTCTGTTACCCAGGCTGGAATGCAGTGGCACAGTCATAGCTGACTGCAGCTTTGAACTCCTGGACTCAAGTGATCCTCCCACCTCAGCCTCCTGAATAGCTGGGATTACAGGTGCAAACCACCACACCTGGCTTGTTTTCTTTGGACTTTCAGTGTTGTTATTGGAGAGTCCTGGCATTTTAATTTCTGTGTGTATCAGTTATCAACTGTTGCAAAACAAGTTATAAAGCTTAGGGGCTTAAAACAACAAATATTTATCTCATAGTTTTTATGGGCCAGGAATCATGTATGACTTAGTTGAGTACCACTGACTCAAGGTCTCATGTGGCTGCAATCAAGGTGAGCTGCAGTCATCTCACTGGGGAGGATCTGTGTCCAAACTCACTTATGCTGATAGGCTTTGGGCCTTCTCACTGTTGACTGGAGATGCTGGTTCCACATGGGCCTCTCTATAGGGATTCTCACCACATGACAAATTGCGTTTCTCACAGAAGTGGCTCTTAGAGCTCAGACTGTGTTTGTGACCCAAAAAAACTTATGATAAAAATCTCCTGACTAGTTTTTAGAAGGTGATTTGGAAAAAAAATAAGAAGAGTCTTTAACATAGTGCCTGTCTCCAGCTTTCCTTTTCCTACTTCTATGCCCTATCTCTAGTTGTTCCTGGTTTGATAGTCTGACATGATTTGGATTTCCTTCTGCCCTACCTATCTTACCACCTTCATTCCTCTGTTGGTTCATTCATGAAGTGATGCAAATATTCACCGAGAACCTGTCTGTGTGCTAGCTGCCAGCTAGAACTTACCTTGGTAGGCAGTGTGCTGCTGTCAGTATCCACCTCTCACTGACGAGGGAACCTCCACAGATGAAGTTGTTGTCCAAGTGTAGGCTGACCTGCCAAGGCCAGCGCCCTGCAGCAGCATCCTGGCCACCTGTAATGCGGCTTGAGTATACAGGTCGCCCGCACACTACAGAAAGAAAAGAAAGGAAAATGTGGAAACTTGGGAGTCCTGTTTCTCTGATTCCCCACCTTATCATCATTCCCAAACTCCCATCTATTCCTAGGACCTGAACTGTCCCTAGACACCATACTCTATCCTACTCTCATTCCATACCTAGCAGTCTTAGGCTCAAAATGGAGACCACTCACCTGATTGCAGCTCTTTCTTTTTGGGAAAAGAACGTGAGCAAGACCCTAAAGAAGAAATAGGGTATCATTAATACATAATAACACATCTAATATCTAGATTTGCTGAACAGAGAGCCTTCCTTTTATGTAAATTTTCCAGATTGCTATCAAAGGGCAAATTTTCAAATGAGTTCTACCTATTAGTGGACATCTTTACAAACATACTTACCTGCCTTCCTTAGCAGTGTCCATGGAACATAATTTAACTTAAAACAAAATTTTTTGAGCCAGGCATAGTGGCTCATGCCTGTAATCCCGGTGCTTTGGGAGGATGAGGTGGGAGAATTGCTTGAGGCCAGGAGTTTCAGACCAGCCTGGGCAACATGACAAAACCAGGTCTCTAAAAAAAAAAAAAAAAAAAGATTTCTACATTTCCTTTTCTCCTCTTTCTCTAATGTACAGGTGACCTGTATACTCAAGCCACATTGCAGGTGGCCAGGATGCTGCTGCAGGGTGCTGGCCTTGGTGGGTCAGCCTACACTTGGACCACAGCTTTATCTGTGGAAGTTCCCCTTTCAGTGAAAGGTGGATACTGACAGCAGCATACTGCATAAAAGTGTGAGTTCTGGTTGGCAGCTAGGACACAGATAGGTTCCTGGTGAATATTTTCATGACTTCGTCAGTGAACCAACAAACAAATGAAAGCAGTAAGATAGGCTAGGCACGGTAGCTCATGCCTATAATCCCAGCACTTTGGGAGGCTGAGGTGGGTGGATTGCTCAAGTCCAGGAGTTCAAAACCAGCCTGGGCAACATGGCCAAACACCATCTCTACAAAACATATGAAGAAATTACCCAGGTATGATGGTGCATACCTGTAGTCTCAGCTACTCGGGAGGCTGAGGCAGGAGGATTGCTTGAACCCAGGAGGAGGATGATGCAGTGAGTTGAGATGATGCCACTGCAAGCCAGCCTGGGCAAGAGAGTGAGACCGTGTCTGAAAAAAAAAAAAAAAGGAAAAAAACTGGTAAGATAGGTAGGGCAGAAGGAAACCCTAGGTCACGTCAGACTCTCAAACTAGGGATGACCAGAGATAGAGCATAGACGTAGAAAAAGGAATACTGGAGACAGGTGCTGTATTAGAGACCTTCCTTATTTTTCGCAAATCACTTCCTAAATACCAGTTGGGTATTTTTGTCTTAAGCTGTTTCGGGTCACAAACACAACAGGTGTGGTCGCACACCTGTAGTCCCAGCTACTAGGGAGACTGAGGTGGGAGGATTGCTTGAGCCCCAGGAGTTTGAGGTTGCAGTGGGCTATGATTGTGCCACTGCACTCTAGCCTGGATGACAGAGTGAGACTCTGTCTCTTAAAAAAAATTTATGCTCTATGAAGATTCAAATTTAACTTTTACTTGATTCAAGGTCATCATTAGGAATATCAAGTGTGTTATTTTATAAATACAATGATGCCTTCAGATGTGGTTTAGGTTTGCAAGCTATTTACTTTTGTACTATTTGGTTTAACTGAATTAGCATTTTGCAGCATAATTGTGTATCTTCTTTGCTACCTGTTGTTACGTTTTTTGGTCCCTCAGCATACCCTTTTGTTTTTTGTTTTTTGGGGAGACAAGGTCTTCTTACTCTGTCACCCAGGCTGGAGTGCAGTGGCCACTATCTTGACTTACTTCAACCTCCACTTCCCAGGCTCAAGCACTTCTCTTGCCTCAGCCTCCTGAGTAGCTGGGACTACAGGAGCCCACAACTTCACCCAGCTAATTTTGGGGGTTTTTTTGTTTTTTTTCTAGAGATGGGGTTTCGCCATGTTGCCCAGGCTGGCCTTGTACTCCTGATCTCAAGTGATCTGCCCGCCTTGGCCTTCCAAAGTGCTGGGATTATAGGCATGAGCCACTGTGCTTGGCCAGTATACCCTTCTTTTAAATCAGTGTGCACCAGAAAAATAAATGAACAAGCTTATGCCTGAAGCCATTGAACAGTGTTTGCTCTTCCAGTTCCCTCTGCTTGATATTATCTTTTCCTGTATCCTCTTAACTAATTTACTTATCTCCTTCAGGTCTGCTCAAATGACTCCTTCTTAGTGGGGCCTTCTTTAGCCCTCTAAAGATCACAACACTCCTGCCCCTGTACTTCAGATGCCCCTTTCCTTTCATAGTACTTATTACCTTATAATATGCTTTATAATTTACACATTTAATATGTGCGTTGATTGTAAGTCCCACAAAGAGAATCTTATGTGTGTGTGTGTTTGTGTGTGTGTACTGCTATTTCCAACCAGAATCATTGGAATGGTACTGGGCATATAGTAGCCTCTTAGGACTTTTCAGGCCATGCTATTCATAAGTAACATCCCATGGGTGAAGTGTCACATTGTTCTATATGATGCCTTCTTGAGTAAAAATCCTCTGCCTCTCCCTTCCCAACTCCACCCTGGGGCTCACCTGAGATCCCCAGCAGAAGGAGCAGCATGAAGGCACAGCCAGCAGGGCCCATGTCTCTGTCCTTAGGGCTAACACTTCTTCCTAGACTCAGGCTCCAAGGAAGAGGCCAGTAGGGAGCTGCCAGGACCAGCTTTTCCTCCTATATGGATTCTGCTTCACCCGATCCTCTCTTTTGCTTTCCTGAAGGGACCAGACTTCAAGAGAAGTGCAACTGCAGGACCCAGGGGAGGAACTGGGATCTGCGGTGACCCCTGCTGTCCTGGAAGATCAGGGTGTTTGGGGTTTCTGCCTGTGGCGTTGAGGAGTGGCTGGCTGGTTGAGGGCCCTGAAACAGGACCCTGTCTCTAGTAAGGAGATAGAAGGTGGACAGGATTCTCGAAAAGCGAGAAATGGAAAAGAGGAAATTAACCCAGTATCTGGTTAATTTTTCTGAGTTTTTTGGTTTGTTTTCATTTCTGTTACAGTGTTAGCTACACTGTAAGTCAGGTTTCCTGGGAAATAGACTCTTAAGACAGAGATTTGTGTGCAGGAAATTTATTTTAGGGTGGTCTCAGGATCAGCACCTTTTGGGTGGGTAGGAGGATTGTTTAGAGGGAAAGTTGAACTGCGATATATTTGCAACAGAGCCCTCAGCCCATCTCACAAGTTTCTCTGGAGCTGAGGTGGCCCTCAGAGATTTTCTGTATTGAGCTAAGAAGGATGGGCTCTTAGAGGTCTGCATCATTGGATGCAGGTAGCCTCCTAGGAGGGGGCATTACCTTGGGTGACGTGGCTCTGTTGGCAGTTCTTGGGATAGGACTTAGCTGTGAACTGTCAGCAACCAACATTCCTGGTTGCTAGGGGAATGAATTCTTCAGTTCTAAAGGGGGATCTTGGTGGTACACCACAACATCTGCTACAGAAATCTTTACTGTGCCTTTTGTTTTCTATGCCACTTGTTTGTAGAGTGCTAGGTCTGTGGAGGCAGAATTCAATGAACTATTAAAATATTACTGCTGTCGTACAGCTTAAAATATTGGGAGGCTTGAAAGAAATGTATCAGTAGTTTAAAAATAATAGAAGTGGCTGGGCATGGTAGCTTATGACTATTATCCCAGCACTTTGAAAGGCCAAGCTGGGAGGATTCCTTGAGGCCAGGAGTTTGAGACTAGCATGGGCAATACAGTGAGACCCTATATCTACAAAAATTTAAAAGTTAGCCAGGTGTGGTGACATGTACCTGAAGAAGTCCCCAGCTACTCGGGAGGCTGAGGCAGGAGGATCACTTGAACTCAGTAGTTCAAGGCTACATAAGCTATGACTGTACCACTGTTCTCCAACTTGGGCAACAGAAGGAATCTGTCTCAAATAATAATGGAAGACCAGGAAATGTAGCTATTTTGGTAAGAACTATTCAGTTACAGGCAACTGAGGCCCACTTAAGCTAGCTTAAATCAAGAGGATATTATTTTTAAAGCTATTGTTGTGAGCTGAATTATGTCTTCTCAAAAATTCATCTTGAAATCCTAACCACACTCCCATATCTCAGAGTATGACAGTATTTGGAGATAAGGTCTTTAAAAAGGTAATTACATTAAAAAGAGGTCATTTGGTTGGGTTCTAATCTGAGTGAATGATGTCCTTAGAAGAGGAAATTTCACGTACGTGACATGTACAGAGGGAGAAGACAGCTATTTACAAGCCTAGGATGCCTGAAACAAATCCTTCCCTCATGACCCTCAGAAAAAACCAGCCATTCTGATACCTTGAGAAAATAAATTTCTGTTGGTTAAGTCCATCTAGTCTGTGGTACTTTGTTACAGCAGCCCTAGCAAACTTACATAGGTATCTATGGAACAATAAGAACAGGGTAACAGGGACACCGGGAGCTGCCATAGGACAGCCCTGAAGACCAGAGCTGGAAAGGGGCTGATAGCTTAAGAGCTCATAGCAGGATCTTTTCTCTGGGTCTCTGCTATTAATATGGCTCAACCACATTCCATGTCATTTCTTTCTGTCTACTGTGAACTGCCCAAGTTGTTCCCTATTTTCAGTTCAGATTCCCAAGACGTCTTATTTGGTACAGATTATCTTTTCTACCCAGGATATAGATTCATGACCATGGATTAACTGTCCCTGGGGTAAGAACCCTTATAGAGGAAGGTGAGAAGATGGGGATGCAGAAATATGGCCAGCTCAGCAGCTGGGGCTGTTGTGGTAGGGCAGATGCCAGGTTTGCTATATCTCAATAAAGCAGCATAAAGATGTTTACCTCTTTAAATGCATTTTAAAAGATTTTAGAAGTGAACATTTGAAAAAATCTCTCCATTTGCTTTTTCATAAACAAGCAGACACTGACAGACCATGAATTTTTACCAAATTTATGTTTTTCAGATTCATTTGTTTTCATTTGAGTCTGTTTGATGGAATGAAACTCACCTACTATTACATTTGTGATAGTTTCTGAATACATGTTTAATGGTTCTTGTTTTGTATATCCAATTTTGTGTGTGTGTGTGGTTTATGCATTCACTCTGGTTTTCTGCCACTCATTGTGATTTTATCATTATGTAATGACTCTTAGTACTTTATACCTTTTTTTCTGAAATTAATATTACAACTGACAGTTTTTTCCAGCTCACTTCATTGAAGAAAAAGATTTCTTATTCGTAGCACAACCATCTATGTCAATATTCCAATTCATTTATGGTATTCACAGGCAATTGTAGCTATTGAGTTAACTCACTTAAGTATAGTTTTTTTAAAAAGTCAGAACTCAGTTTGAGATTTGCCTTCAGAACACGTTTAGAGTAAAGGTAGCTTATTATTCATTTTGCAGAGACCTGAAAGCTTTGGATAGATCTTTCTGTGGACTTGCCACAGGAACAAAAACTTGACCAGACAGTCCTTTCCCTCTGAGGATCTTCTGGTTGTCCCAGGTCCTTGGACTTCTTATCACTGGACAAATCTGAAGTCCTGGCCTATGCCCTTTATATGTTAGTTGGATTACTAATGGAATCTCTCTTCTCTTTTGTTTAAATGTTTTGTAAAAAATATATTTCAGTTTTGGTGTCTGTTAAGTTTAGTTGGAAATAAACTCTACATCATTTACTGATGTAACTAAGGCACCACTACTTTATTTTGAAAATTGGAAGGTAAAAGGAGAGAATTAAATAGTTATCCTACTTTTCCTGTATAAACTGTAGTTCAGAGTATGAAAATAGGTTTAGTTAGTGAGGGAAAATTCCAACTAATAAATGTGGTTGGACCAAAATCAAGTGGTGATTTTTCTCACAGCCCCTCATGAAATCAAGGAATTATTATCAAATCTTTAGATTAAAAGTTGATAGAGAGCTTAGGCCATTACATTTGAACCCTCTGATCAATCTTAGCATCACTAAAAGTGGGACATGTGCCTCCTGATATTATCCCCTATGAAGTATCCTTGTTAAAAAAAAGAAAAGTGAAACCTGAATCTCTAAAGCTACTTTCACTCGCAGCAAATATGAAGGATAAAGGAGTAAGTCAAATTACAGCTCAAGGAAGTAAATAGTCAAATGCAGAATGTAGGACATTTTACAAAGCATCTGACCCAGTTACTGTTGCAAGTCAATGTTATGAGGTAAAAAGGGAGAAAGACTGCTCTAGTTTGTAAGAAACTTAAGAGACATCAGTGTGTTTGGATCCTGATTTTAAAAATGAACTTATTGTTAATCTTGACAGCTGTGATAATGGCTTTTAGTTATATAAGAAATATCTGTTCCTAAAGAGAAAAGTGTGACCTTCTTAACCCTTTCTAAAGCTAAGCTAAAATGTTTTATCATTTTGGAGAAAGTTCCTCTGGTTTTCAGCACACAGTGCTATTCTTTTGTTTTCTTGAGGTATGGCTGTATTACCTTAAGCAAGTCACTCTTTCCCTAAGGCTTGTATTTTCCCATTGTACAAGGGAATCAGTTGTTATCTCAAAGATTAAATCATGCATTGCTTGTTTATCACCATATGTTATCTATTTATCTTTGCCTACATTATCTGTGTATAAATATTTTCTTTCTTTTCATTCAGTTATCAAGAAATATGCTGGATCTGTCATTTTACTGCTTCATTGGCTCTTATAAGGAAGTGCCAAAGAGTTGGAAGCAAGAGAGTGGATGCTTAATGCCCACCCCAGGGACTTTCCTGAACACAGCTCTTAGTTTCTGCCTCTGTCATCATGCTGTGTCTTCAGATCTTAGATTCTCTGTCCCCAGATTATTTCCCTATGCTATCATTAAAGTTATCTTTAAACATCTCTGCTGTACACAGTAACTATAATAATTATCTCTGCAAAATAGGAATAATAATATTCCACAAGATTTTCATAAGAATAAAATGAGATATTGTAGAGCTAATACTTAGCTTGGGTTTGGCCTATTTCACCTGTGATAATTAATGGCAGCTGCTATTTTTATTATTGTTGTTGAACTCATTTCTCAGCTTTAAGTATTTATTTAATTGTACCTAAACAGTTTATCTTGGTGATGGCTTGGATTGATGTTGATGGTACTTATTAACCAGGGTTTCTCAGCCTTGGCACTATTGACATTTTGGGCCAGATGATTCTTTGTTGTGGAGAAGCTAGCCTGTTCATCGTAGGATATTAAGCAGCATCCCTAACCTCTACCTATTAAATGCGAGTAACACGTGCTACACCTAGTTGTGACAACCAAAAATATCTCCAGACATTGCCAAATGTCCCCTGAGAGAATGACTGTTGTAAAGCAAAGACGCCACTTCAAAATTCAGTTTTCTTTTGAGCACCCTGAAGCTAAAACAAGGAAGACAACAAATTTGCAAGTTTTGTAGCTTTTTATCTAAATTAACAGAAAGGGCAAATGGACACCATTGTCTATTTTCTAATTCAACCCATCAATCAATCTGTTGTATTGGAAAATAAATAGATCTCCTTATAAAACAGTCTCCTAAACAATAATTGAGGCCAGGCATAGTGGCTCATGCTTGTAATTCTAGACCTTTGGTTGGGGGGGTGGAGGCAAAAGGATTGCTTGAGCTTAGGAGTTCAAGACAAGCTTGGGC